TACCTGTATACCTGGAACCTTCCTAATTGAGCCACACTGCCAAACCATGGTCTCGAACAGGTTTTTTTGCGTTTCCAGCCTGGCGCAGGCGACCCCGGGCAGCTTCCCAGCCGGCCACACCGTGCAGGGAGACTGGAGAGCCAACTTGACATTGTCCACCTTAGGACGCCCAAAGCGTTTGACGGGCATGGACACCGAAACGCGTTCGATCTGCTTGGATTCACTTTGGATTCATTATCCATGGGTCCTGAATCAAATGGGAACACGCTGGAACACGTATGAAGACGGTAACCACTGTAGATAGAAGTAGGGGATCTCAGTGTGTTGCGCATCATGCAGCAGGAGTGGGTATCAAGTATCATACATCTGTCGATGTGGCCCGAACACCCAAGTACCTGAAAGTGAGCCCTTCAAGAAGTTTGACACGATTCTACAAACATCACGTTCAGCCACGTACGACCTGGGTTGTTTTTGTTTTTCGCTTTTCCCCACCTGTCAGGAAAGGGTTGTTAGACTTTATGTCAGCTGCCTCGCTGTTCTCCTCTCCTCTCCTCCTCCTCGGCCTCCTCAACCGTGTGTGTCGGATGGCAGCCTCAACCGCCAGCTGCGGACGGCGGCCTCAGCTGCCAGCTCCGGATGGCAGTGTTCCCCGCCGGACCTCAACTGCCAGCTCGGGACGGCAGTGTTCGCCGCCGGACCTGTCAGAAAGGACGAATGTCAAAAGATATTTATACCGGAAAGAGTGTCAGAAAGAATATCAAAAGATCTGCCAGAAGGAATGTCAGAAGAGATCCCAGAAAGAGTGTCAAAAAAAAACTTCAGAAAATATGCCAGAACCAATGTCAGAAGGTATGCCAGAAGGAATGTCAGCAGATATGCCAGATAGAATGCCAGAGTGAGTGTCAGAAAGAATGTTAGAATCGAAGATATGCCAGAAAGGATGTCAGAAAGAACATCAAAAGATATGCCAGAAAGAATGTCAGAAGATATGTCAGACGGAGTGGCAGAAAGAATGTCGAAAGATGTGCCAGAAATAATGTCAGAAGATATGCCAGAAAGAGTGTCAGAAGATATGCCAGAAAGACCTCAACCACCAGCTCCGGACGGCTGTATTCCCCGCCGGACCTCAACCGCCAGTTCCGGACGGCAGTGTTCCCCGCCGGACCTCAACCGCGAGTCAGAAGATATGCCAGATACAACGCCAGAAAGAATGTCAGAAAGAATTTCAAAAGATATGCCAGAAAAAATGCCGAAATAATGTTTCAATACATGCCAAAAATGTTCAAATTAAAGTGTCATGGTGGGGATCACTCGAAGTGAAGTATTTTTTCATGGAGCGGACCTAGCTTCGACATGTTGGTGAGTCTACATAGTACGGTACAAGTAAATTCAGAGTTGCTGCTGGATGCGAATTAGGGCCGTGGGGAAAAATGGTAAAATGGGTGTTCTGGTGAGTTCTTGTTCGTCAACCACCTCGTTGAAAATTTTTGCTCACTAAAGGCTCTTGTTGAGGCTTTGTCGTTATTCTCTATGGGGTTTCTGGGGAAATATTTGGTGCAAAAAATCACTCTGTTCAGTGATAATGGATGAGGTTAAGATTTGTTTAGACTTGTTGTGTTTTATGTTTCGGGTTTGGGTTTTAGGATTAGTTCATAATATGTTTAATTAAGATATTATGAACTAATCAGTGTCTCCATTGTTCATCATCTTTTCCTGTTCCATCCCAATGTTCAGATTCAATAGTTTTGATGTTATAGAACACTAAAACGATTGTATCTCTATCCATACTTCGTTGGTCAATCAAGTGCTTCAACACTGACAGCAGTGTATAATAGTTTTGTTGTAATGCTGTCTTTCCTCCTCTATGGCGTATTCTCTCACCGTTTCTTTTAACAGTAATATCTTTGTCAAAAATGTGTTCATAAATTTCTTTCATAAGGTCGCGGTTTATTTCTCCATACTCTGCGTATTGTGGTAGACAGATTTCTTGCTTCAGGAGCAGGTCATTGGATACAAAATTGTAATCAGGATATGGATTTTCCTTGATAAAGGTCATTAATCTTTCTCTAGCTCTTTGTAATTCTTCCTCACTTAATAGGCATTTTTACTCTTAATATGTATAGATATTGTTCCTTAAGTGTTTTATTTTTTTGTATATGCTCTTCTATTTCTGGTTCGTTGATGAAGTGCTCATAAAATCTGAAGAGCTCTTTGAGATATTCCCGCAAGAAGGTTTCCATAATGTCTTTGGTTTCGGAAGTAGTAATCCACTTCAAGGTTTTGAAACCACCAAACTCGTATCTTTCTCATATCTTTCATAAAAGCGATGTCGTGAAATTTGAGGATATGATAGGTACTTCTCCAATACTTCTTCACGTGTGATTTGGTTGCCAGTAGGTATATCTTATCGTGCTTGAACCTTTCCTTCAGTTCCGATGTGTCCATCAACGTGTCTATCTCCCTCCTCATCACTCTCACGTTTGTTCTGTTAGTATCACTTAAAAAGATGGATGATGGCATCTCTGTTTGGAAGAAATCTATTTGCCTTTCCACTGTTGTATGTCTGTCGTGGGCGCTTCTGATGTATTCCTTTTCCTTGAAGATTAAGTTATTACATTTGAAACAGTGGGTGTTGTAATCACATATCATATCACAAGTTCCGGCGGGGAAAGGATTGTTCAATACAACCTTGACGTTGGCACCTTCATTTTTACAACATCTACAGTTTCCATAAGTAAATAGCATCTCTTATATATATATAGGTAACTTTTCTTTAAGTAGCTTTTTGGGGCTGGTTCAGTTTTCCAGTTCAGGTTGATTTTAGTTTTCTCTTCCACTTCATCATCACTGACATCGTTTTCAAAAACATTATCATCCTTGTCTTCTCCATCTCTAAAAGTTTGTTTTCCATAAACTGGAACTTCATTTGTCTCTTCCCCGCACTTCCCACACATATTCACGAAGGTCTTTAACAAATATGTCCAGTTCGGTTCTTTCCATTCATTCAAGGACATAACTTCAGTCATTATCCGACATCCACAGTCAAATTTAGTCATCTTTACTCTCTTACTTTTAAATATCATGTTTTCTTAAGTAAATGTTGTATTACAGAAAATCTTTAAAATCTAAAACTATAATAATGGCAAGAAGATTAACGAAAGAACAGATAATAAGCAATGTCTATTACGACTTGGAAAAGGGTTTCGGGTCAATCCAAGACACCCTAAAACAAGCAAACGAACAAGACCCATCCATAACGAGGGTAGATGTGGAAACGTTGATGAAAAACAACCCAACAAACAGATTAGAGGTTATAGGGATTCAAACTCATTTGCCGCCCCGTTCTCAAGGTTTGAGTATCAAATTGACATAATGCATATGAAGCCTTTAACGAAAGTTCCGGAGGCAAAAGTACCAATGAAGAATTCCGAGCCACCCTATGCTTTAGTCGTTACAGATATATTCAGTAAGATGGGCGACGTCGTGCCTATAAAGCAGAGAGACGGAGAAACGGTCTTACAATGTCAAAGTTTCAAGACGATGGGTTTTCCAATGTCAATATAAAGCGAGAACCAGCACTACGACGCTCCCTGTGCTCAACAAAGTCCAACCAGTTTTATCGGTCTGCGCCGGAAAAGACCTTGCAGGCTGTGTTCGTGCATGACCGCTTGGAAGGACGAACCGGCCTGGCGCAAGCTGAACCTGCCTCACAAAGATGCATCTGCGGAATGTCAAAGAAAAAGGACAATACATCGGTTCAGTCAATTTGTGCCAAACTGGCTTTGGATTGAAGGATGCGTGATATGCAAAACCAAACAAGAACCACAGCGCCTAACCTCAATCAATACATGAATTTGAAGCAAACAATTCGACATCTTTGAAGAACAGCTTCGTAGAATTTGAACCTGAACCTACACATAGAAACTCTGACCACCTCAACAATTATCCCCTTCATTCAACCCAAACAATGAAGTGAAAGTTAAGACCCTAAACCACCCCGTAACAACTCCCCATCAAAACCAACGAACACACATTGAACCACACATTGAACCCCGACCCCCGAAACAAAGCAGAACAGCAACAACAATCAGCCACCTCGTTGAATTATAGCAAAGATAGTGATTTTTAGCACCACAATTTCCCCAGAAACCCCATAGAGAATAACAACATTTCAAAGGCTCAACAAACAATTTAAGAGCCAAACAAATTCAACGAGGTGGTTGATGAACAAAAACTCCCCGGAACCCCCCTTTTACCATTTTTTTGGGGGAGGGGTCTGAGGAAAAGCCTATGTACACTAAATACTAAAAAACACATGGCGAAGGAATAGTCTTGGCAAACTTCTCAAACCAACAAGAGAAGAATTCAAACCTCCAATTGACAAAGCTGCTGCTTTAACATTTGCCCAGTTTAGGCCTGGCAAAATGTTTGACAACACACACACACGTACACATAAACACACACTCACACACGCACAATTAACACCACCGATACCTGGAAAGTCCTCGTTTGGGAATTGCGCAAAACCAAGTATTGAGGCGCCCAAGTGTCACAGCCACAAAGAAACATCAATTTCCGATGGATCTGAATGGTTCTTAAACGTTTTTTTCCATACTGAATATCAGCTGCTTCATTTTCACCCCAAATGGAGTGCCTTGATGTCCAAACATGCTAGAATGAGAAACGAGACATCTCGCCTTCCGATCTAATCTATCTAACCGAGCACCAGGTCTGTACAAGCCCGACACACGATGGCACTGCCGGTGGCAGTGTATACAAAATCCTTCAACTGTACATGGGCGAGCTGGACCATCAGCCGCATGGACAAGGCAGAACAAGGTCCCAGCATGGCTGCCTTCCCGATCAGGTTTTGATCTAGATTTATAGGTTGTGAGTGTCAAAACAAAACCATTGCGTTGAAACGTAGGGAACATTGGAGCCTTGGAGGATTCGAGGATTGAGAATCGAGACTTCCACACTGGTCACTCTGGTTCACTCGTTCATAATGTTGCTGTTGTCACCATTTCAGGATCCGCTCTGGCACACAAGATCTGGACACCAGGGCCAGTTAGCAACAGTGAGTTGTCTGTGACCGTCCATTGGCGAATACTCTTCAATGCAGCAGCCAGTCGATGTTCAAGCTCCTGACGTGCTGTGGTGTGAAGCCTTCACTTCTACGTGCCACGTAACCGCAAGTAAGGGTCTGGCAACGGCTTTGGCTTGCCTCAAATGAAGGACCTTGAACCAATTTTATGAGGGTGTTTCATGTCCTGTTCCTGCTACGTTCTGAGACAAAGCTATGTGTGTGCATGGCCAAGACCGCATATTATGCAGGGAAAGGGGTGCAGCTGATGATAATCCTCGTTCTGTAAGGTTTCCTTTTCTGTCACCCAAAAAGAGATCATCCTCGAGTGCGCGGAAGGTCATCAAAATATGGTCGACTCATCTCAGTGGCGGAATCTCTCCGTGAATCTCCGACACTGCTAGGTTGAGTGCCTTGAATCCGTTGATCATTCCAGCCCCAAGGTTATATATACATATATATACGGTAGCACTCCCGTGGGTGTGCCACAGTCCCTACCCTAAGCAAGGTGCCTCAGAATCTTTACGAAACCTTTTTTGGAGGCAGGCCTCAAATCATTAAATCGATTCTTGACTGGGACCAAAATTTTTGCCCTAAAACCGATTTGAATCTGGTCTGAGCTTCCATCAAATCCTCAGGGCCTGCCATCATCGTTGAGCTGTACCCCTCAATGGTCAGGCGCTCAGTCTCCTCGCTGCCCTGAAAGCGAAGGAGGTTGACCACCTCGACCGACGGCCGTGTCTGGCCTCGTTACTCAAAGGTCAAGCCTTTCTTTCCGGGTTTCATGGACGAATTAAATCTGGAAGCCTTATGCTCGTGAAGCGATTGCTTTTGGAGAACTGAGCCTACCATCCAGCTAGAAGCTGCGGGAGAAGATCCAGTAGCTTTTCAACTATTGGTCAAGACGAGTTCAGGAACCATCAGGAAACCACACCCAATTTAAAAAACAAAGGAACCTAAATCAGATGTCTTGGCCGCGGAACAACACAAGTCACACAAGTGGCTAGTCTGAAGGTCTTTTCAACTTTGTTTTTGGTATTGTGATGTCATGATGCTCGGTGCTTGTTGTTTGTGTTTTACAATCAAAACAGGAAAAGAACACTACAACAGAACATAAAAGGGATAACAAAAAATACATTGGGAGAATCAGAAAGAACGGGACGGATGATGAAGGATGCTTAAAGGGATACATCGAACAGGTGCACATGTGTATATATAGACATATGCTTGCACACATACATAAACAGCCAATTCATAATTATAGTGTCGGAATAACCAGCCTTAACCAAGGTGTCAAACAGGAATCCAATGAAGTCAAACACCCTGAATCAATGGATTCAATCTCCTGTTTTGTTTCTCTTTCTTTCTGAGCTACTTTCAGCACCAAGCCGATCTCCTTCTCTTCTCGGACCGTCAATAAACATCGTATCTTCAAGGGAACTTCCAGAAGTTCAGGGTACAAGACCTGCTCCAGCTTCCATTGGCCGCTCTTACCGTCGGCAATTTGCCGAGTCTGGCTCGTTGGTGCTTCCTGGAGAACACAGAAGTGATCACGAAACACAGAACCAATCCAGGTATAAATAAACCACCCCTTCTGCATGTACACCAAAGGACATCATGTTGGTTGCACAACCACACCACGATTGGCTTGCGTGTCTGCTTTGACAGCAAATCGATGTGAATTCCCTTTATGAAATCCTCTCCGACCTCTCCAAACAAAACTTTTGGGACATGTATGGGAAATGTCATTTCAGTCCAGCTCTCGTTTCTCGTCTGTTTCGGGACAGTCCTTGAAGTCAATACTGAAAAGATCTCCCTCATCTTTCGCTTGCACTACAGGGTATATCGTGGACTCTGTCGAGGTTTCAAAGGCAGTACCTGTCGCCGTTTCTGTCGTGGTGTGTCAGAGCTAGACAACCGGCTGGTTGGTCAGAAGAGGAAACTCGACGTGTGGCTTGGAGGTTGGATAGAATCCACAGAATTTGGGGATGAACACTGTTCACCCGGGATCTGTGTGTGAAAGCCCAAAATGGGACTGCAACGGGGAAAAAAAAGGGGAGAACGAGACATAGTACTGTTACATAGTGATTGTTTGATTGGTCTGGCAGATCCTCGGCCGGGCCTAGACACCTCGCATTGTGATAGAGGATCATCCTCAACCGCGCTCCGTCTCGCTGGATCAATACACCAATCACATCACCTTGGTGGACTTCATCGCCAAAGTTCGTTCTCAAAGCTGCACTGCCATCCGATAAGTTGCCAGGACCACCATAGAATAGGCCTTTGCACTTGTATCCTTCAAGAACTTCCAAAGCACTTCTTTGACATTCTTTCACTACAAATCTGGTCAAACTAAATACCAATCACACCCAAACAAACGGTCCAAGCTGAGAGTTCTGCAAAAGAGACCCCCGCCAAACAGTGTGGCTCGACCGTGCCAAACACCCCGACCCGTCCTGGCGCCAAACCCGCTTCGGTGGCAATGCCCACGAAGGGTGCTCCAGAAAACTCCTGCGCGCGAGTCCCGTGGATTCCAGGCCACCACCCGCGCGAGTCCCGTGGACGAACCGGTGCGAGTCCTCCGTTGTCCGCTTTTCCGCTTTTCGGATGGTTGCTAAGTGAATTGTCGGTATCAACTTCCGGTATTCGGCGCTGATCCTTGCTTCTCAAGATCTTGGATCTGCAAAACATCTGCAAATCCTGAAGCATTCCCAGGGCAGCTAGGAAACTAGCAATCCCTCTCAAAGAACGTACCCTGTGCTGGCCACCCCGCGGCATACTTGCCTGAGGACACCCAACCAAAGCAACTTTGTGGTAATACGTATCAAGTTATTTGCCAGCAAAGCAAACGGACTGGACAGTATTGTGTAGTACTTCATGGTCACAACCCCACGTCCCCTCCCAAAAGCTAAGTGTATTGTGATTCAAGAGAAATGCCACCACGGACCACCCGTGCTCTCTTCACCTCTCCCTCCATACCCCAGACCCATCCTTGCAGGTGACCTCGAAATAGGACGCCGACTCCAGTGGAACAGCGAACAACGCGTTCACCGGTCCACGCGGAGGACGGACAGAGGCTGAGACATGTCGAACTGGCCGAACGCGGAAGGAGCTACCCAAGTCTTCGATGGAATTGGAGCCGTCATCTCCTGGGTGGCGTTTTTCGGAATGTCTTTTAAGATGTGGCCCCCAAGTGCACTCACTAGATTTCACAACTGTTTAATCAAGTCTCCCAACCAAGGAGGCAACCCAGGGCAACTTAGTTTGCAGTGGTTGGGGTCTGGGTCATCTATCTGAGGCCGTCACGGGGGTTACCCTTTCGAACTACGCCATAAACGGCCAAAGGACAATCACAGGGAACACACATCGTCACGGTCGAAGTAGGCAGGCTGACATCTTTCGGTTCAAGGCACTCCAAGCTCCTTCAGGCACTCCAAGCGCAGTGGTCCTGAGGCGATTCTGGTGGCCCCAAAAGCCGCATGGCACCCTTTTCGCACTCGTGGTTTACAGCCGAATCGAACCAAGTGGTACACCCAAACTTTCGGGAGATCGATCTTTGTCTTTCTGAAAGTTTGATGTGTGTTGTTTCAGTGAGATGTTTGATTTTTGTTAGCTCCCCGATGCCGTCCATGTTCAATCGGCATGTTTCCAGTCGCAAAGAACCCGTGCAATGTCTTTGGACAAATTCATGGGCAAAGTCAATTCAGGAACTTCATCAGATGCACAGAAGATCAGGCCTCTGAGAAGATCCTGGTCAGGGTCAGTGACAAACACCACCAGCAACCAGGAGGCTTCTGAGCTGTGTACGGAACACCCCCATCCCCCGGAGGCTCGACCTAGGCACATCACCAGCCGCCGTCGGGATGAAACTGCAGGTAGCAACGACACGCAAGCGGCCAATGCTCTCAACTGTGGGAAGGTACGGGAACTGCTGGTACCTGCCAGAAAGAAAAGTGTTCTGTCTCGTGACTTCTGGTCAAACTCAGAGTTCTTCCTTCAAGACCTACACTCCAATCCACAAAAACCACTGGTGTTGCTGAACGGTTTCGGTTTGAGCATCCCTCAACTCTAAGCTCCCAAAAGCTCATGCATCTTCGACTTCGCTACATATCCAGGTCAACTTTCAAGTCTCAACGATGTGTTGGTGTCCAGTGTCGGTCATGTTCGTCGGCAACTGGGTGTCGTTCTCAGGCATGGCCATGTCTTGCTGAGCACTTAGTCTCCACGTGACCGACCATACCATGATGTTAAGTACCACTAAGTCAGTCCAATGGATGTGGTTGATACTCTAATATATGGTGTCTCAAAAAGTCGAGCCCCGATCGAATTCGGACCGAGGTCAGTTGGTTTTTCATCATGTATATGCATATGTTAATTGTTCATTATAATATGTATGCAGCATGCATGTATGTATCCCTAGAACCTGATTGACCCCTGTTTTGAAGCCAAAACATGGTCTTTTCCTATCAAAACAGAGGTCGAATGGGTTCTAGGTCTATATATAGTATCCTGCCGGGTTCACTTGAGACACTGAGTTATTGAAAACGCATTGCGGCGTTTGGCCGCCTTCTTCTGCCCGAGACTTGACTAGCCATCTTGACTCCCCCTTGAGATACACAGCAAGATCTGCATGACGATAAGAGATGGTGAGCAAGAGATGGTGAGTACGCAAATTAAATATGCGACGAACCCTCGGAAAACATAGAACAGTGTTGCATCAAAAAAACAAACAAAACGAGCGCGCTGAGGACGCGTCATCTCAGTTTCCAAAAAGCGGTGCAGTTGCGCCTCTCAGGTAGGCCACACCTCTTCTGACGCCGGACGATGGCATCGAAGCCAATGGAGGCCTTCCCACAAGCAGATCGGAAGTCATCAAACGTTGGATAGACATGGATAGCCTGGATAGCCTTAGGGAGGCTAGACTAGATAACTAGCGGTCATGGATGGTCAGGGTAGTCTCGATAGCTCCTGGGCTCCCTCTTTAACATAGACCCACCAATGTCTTGACGGTTTGCTCGCAAAGTCGATAACTAGGAGCAGAGTAAGCTTTTGCTGCCGACCCAAAGAAGCATTCTGTATCACCGTTGGAAAACACTTGGGATAAGTCTAATCTTTGGACTTTGAGGGGCTTTGAAGTTTGTGGTTGTTTGTTTCAAGTGCTAAACTATCTCTGAAGGGCTGCGATCACAGTGGGATTTGCTGGGGCACGGCACGTGAACCTTTAATCGGAAATGGCAAGAAAGAGCCACAGAAGCGAGTCATGCTTGTGGAGCCCAATGGTGTGTCCCGATCTCCAATCCCACCCCGATCTCCTGCTGGCGGAGATCATCTGCATGACGTGTGCGGCGCGGTCGGGACGTCAGATCACGCGGTCGCCGGTCGGAGGTTTGGACGGCTTTGAGGTGACACAACTGCGGTGCGGCTACGTCGGGAGGCGGACGAAGTCAAAGAAGATGGTGTGAAGCAAGTGAACGCTGGGTTAGACTATTCCAAAAGTACTTTCAAACGGCATGGGTTGGACTATTTCACACAATCAAGGTGGGGGATGGTGTGGGTCCAGTGTGGGTATTGTGGGTGAAAAGCCTGTTGCCTCTCAGAATGTTTAAAGGACCAATCACCCAATCTCTGGTCACCGAGTTCTTGAATCTTCAATCTTGATCCACGCCTGCCTGTATAATATATAATATAGGCCAATGTATTCAGAAAGGATTACACTTCCGTTGCAGCTCAAGAGAAGGATGTGTCCAGTTTTCATAAGGTGTTATGATACAATGCTCCTGTTGGCAACATCTGAGACTAAAAATACCTGATCAGGTGTCCAACTCGCTTACTTTCAAGATGCTACCTGCTAGCTCTTGAGCTTGGCCGTAAGGTACCACACTTTGGGGCCAGATTTGGCCTCTCCATTCGGTCCACCATAGACCAGGCATCACCAAAACACAAGTCCTGGATCTCCTGTCAACACCAGTGCCCGGCAACATATCACATATAACATGGAACCTGATGGAATCAAGAGAGGGTCTTAAGACGTCAGACCCAAAAGTTCGGAAGACGTCAGACCCGTATGGTCTTCAAAAGGGTCTTCTGTTCAGAAGTTTCTAACATGGAACCTGATTAAATCGGTCTTCGGAAGAAGAAGTTTCCTCTAAAACCGTCCGGCTTCGTGGTTTTCAGCTTCGGACCTGACGTCTTCCCTTCGGACCCGTTGACGTTTCCTCGGCGTCCGGACCGCGCGGACCGCGGCTCACGAACACGGCCAGCAGCGCGGTCGCGGTGTAACTCACCGCCTGGGAGCCCTGCGGTGTTGGAGCATCCATTTGGGTGTTGGAAGTTCTTGGGAAAACGATCGGGGAAACATCGGATTTCTTCACGTTCGTGTTTCCCTGTTGTTGTTGTTGTTGGTAGAGACAAAAACTGCTGCCCAACATAGTTGTCACATGTTGCTAGTCAGGGATTTCAAAGGGACACTGTTAGGGATAGGGTCGAAGGTTTGGAGAGATGTTAGTCGTTGTGGTACTCAAGTCTTGGTTGGTCTGGAGGGGGCGGGTGGTCAAAAAACAACAACGGGGCTGCAGATTTTGTCTCTAGGATGTGGTAGAGGTTCTAAGTAGAAGTTTTACAGAGGCTTAGCTGACCAGACTACCACTACTACTACTACCACTACCACTACCACTACCACTACCACTACCACTACCACTAC